AAATAAAACTGAATTAAGGCAAGTTCTTTCTGTGCGGCCCGGTACCAAATGCCCGGCGGACCGGTACCGGTCCGCGGACCGGCGGTTGGGGACCCCTGTAATACAGTATTAAAATGGTTTGATGAACTGAAACCTTTGTGTGTGATAAATATGCAAAGAACACAGAAATCAGCAAAGGTGCAAATACTTTTTCACGGCGCTGTATGTGTATTAATCTCTTCCTAATGATAATTGTGCCTGATGTGAATAAGCTCGTGCATGAAGTCATAATGTGACTTTTCTTTCACAGGACATGAACACACACAAAAATAATCTTTTTGATTCTAACCACCACACTGAATTTCAAATGAAACTCTGAACTCTAAACACCACCCACCACACTGCATTTGAAATGAAACGACCAAGATGTACTTTGACTGCAGACTTTCATCTTTAATTTGAGGGGATTTATGGTACACCCAAATCATGTAACGACTGTAGAAATTATAAGAGTTAGTTAGTCCAATTGCCTCGTAGTTATTTACGACGGGGGTCGGTTAGCTGCATGCAAGTATCAAATATGCACCGGTTACATCACATTTTCATGAGAAACAAAACACATCAGTAATGAACATATACATTTCCGGGAAATTGTAATTCCAAAATCCCCTTTATGTACATGAGATTTTGCATTGGATATATAAAGACTCTATAGTGATGACTTACATCGCAGGTGTCCTTCATGTTTTCCATGTCTCCCTGCTGCAACAGATTCAAATGATTGGGATCATTATCAGGCAATATCAGCTTGCTGATGAGCTATCACTTGGATCAGGTGTGTTGCAGCAGGGAGAGGTGGAAAACATGCAGGACACCGGCCCTCGAGGACCGGACTTTGACACCTAAGGCTTACATCTTATGAATCCAAACTGAGCAGGAAAAGAAGCAGACTCCAAGATTGGATCACCACTGAATAATGATTGGCTGCCACGTCGCTGGGCGGTATGATGCACGTCATGACACGTTGCAGTAACGATGGTTGCCGGCATAACTGTGACCTCCGCTATCTTGGGTTAGCGCTCTTCACGGGCTGGGGGTAGATGTGCAAAAAAAAAAAAAAACGACGGACTAACTTGGATGGAACCGAAATGCTTCAGCCGATCCGTTTTGAAGGTTTTCAGAAACCGTTCCACCCCTAAAATAAGTAGTTGAGGAGTTAACTGTACTCTACAATACATTTAAATTAGTACTCGTACTCTCTATTGTAGCATTAGCTTTTGTTTCCTTCTTAATTAATGGTTGTTGACAACCATTTATTGATATTGATGTATGCATCACTTCAGTGTGACTACTACACTAAAGTGTGACTAAGTGAGGGGTTGATTGAATTTGTTACTATTTCTAGAGATCCTTTCATTGATTATTTCTGCTTTCATTACTAATGCAGGAAATTTCCTATACCGATTATGTACGTCTTGATATGGCTAGTTATCAGGACTACATTGAGGGATGCCTTAAATTCAAAAACCCAACACATCACAACAACGGCAACTACACTCTGGAGGCTAAAAATGACCTGGGGGTGGTCAACGGGACTGTCTATGGGCACTTCCTTGACAAGCCCTTCAATGGTAAGTTGGTGCGGGGTCATAATGCATGCTCGAGAAACAAGTTATTTTACTTAACATTACAAGATGTCCAAGAAGAGGCAATATAGCACACATAACTAGTCAGAGCTTTATTTTTAACTGTAATTGTCTAAACCTAACCCTTTCTCATGTTTAACTAATTGGTAGTTTTTTTTCCCAATAACAACATGTGTAGACTTCCTGTTTATTTTATTCATTAATTATACTGTACTTGTAAAAGGCGAATTCAACTGACACACTGCTGTATACAGTATTTTTTGTTGCTTACCACATGGGTGTCATCAAAGACAATTGCCTCAGAACATTTCTTAAATGATGGATTTGTCTCAATTTACAGTATGTTACATGATTAGCATGCACAATATTCAGTTAAGTGAAAAATGAGGTTTGACTCACCTTTCTGGGTGGATTTTGCAAGTTTTCCTTGTGCTTGAGGATAATTATGAACCTTAAAATGGGCCCTTAAATTAGATGTGTTTGCTGTGGTCACGGAAACCCTAGTTGCCCAGATTGTAGTGCGCTGCATTTTTTTTCACCTCTGTATTTGGGCCTTGGCAAAAGTTGTGGGCAGCAGCAGCTCATAAATGGGTGTGTTAATATGTGCTTGTTCTCTTACCATTTGTTCAAAAGTTGAAAGTGAAATGTTGAGTCTATTCTTGACCATCTGTAGGGGGACCCAAAATGGTTCTAGCCAGCAGCGGTAAGATATATTAAATAATCAAGCAATGTTGGCTCTACCATAGACGTGCAGTTGAATAAGTTCTGCTTTACATTAAGTACGGGGGACATTGCACTTCATATTCTTTATTTTAAGCGTGAAATGATCGTAAGCTTTAGACATTCTCTGTGGTTTATGCACTCTTTGCTGCTGGCTTGCATATATTGCAACATCAGTCTGCAGTGACCGTCTGTGTACGATGCCCACAAAATCATGTGATACAGCAAAATGTCTACATTCTGAAATGAGACGGACAATTCAAGAATCTGTGATAGAGTGAAACCATTAAGTGAATCATGACACGGCGAGTACTGTACTGTACCATTTTGTTTGCTCTCATTGATGATTATAAGTAAGATATTTCATGTTTATATCTCAATTATTAAATACATTTAACCCATAAGAGCCCACGGTGACACCAGTGTAACAAACAGTTTGAACTCCCCAGTATCTTTTTTCAAAACTTTTTGTCTGATTTTAACCCATCAAAACCTTTTGGAAAAATGGGTCTGGGCTCTTATGGGTTAAGTATATCTTTGTTGATACAACTTTCAGGTTTTTGGTTCTGGAGGGTTTTAGGCTTGTGGTCCATGGGCTTTCTTGGCTGGGGCCCCTTGGAGGGTCTAGAAACGGCCCTGTTCACACCTCTAGACATTTTATAGTCTTCATTTATAACCCAAGATACATGTTTTTGGTTTTTGTTTTTATATGTGACAAAACCGAGTAGCCAGAGAAATGCCATTCAAGCCCAAGTGAGAATATTCAAAGTCAACACAGCACAAAGAACCCAGATGTTAAAGCCACTTTTCAGTACATTTTTCTCAGAAAAATCAAAAATTACACAACTATACATAGATTGGGTAGATGTTATTGTCGCCAGCCTTTTAAAAAGCAATTTTAAAAGTGTTAATGGAGCTAGCTAATTTCCAAAAGTGAATAATTTCACGTTCATTATTTGAAGTGGCGTGTATTCATAACATCTACAACAGTGGTTCTGAACCTGGGTTCGATCGAACCCTTGGGGTTTGGTGAATCAGTCTCAGGGGATTGACAGAGCCTGTGCCATGGAGGTTCAGACACACCCGACTCAACATGTCAATTACTGTAGCTTGGCCAACACTGGCTGGTTCATTTTGTGCACAATTTAAAAAAACGTATACTCATGTTTAGATTTTTTAAAATTTTTTTTCAGTTTTTTATAAATGTTTTTTTTTATGTTTTGAATTTGAAAAAATAACAGCCTTCTGGAACGGATTATGGACGAAAACCGAGGTTTGACTGTGTATATATATATATATATATATATATATATATATATATATACTAATGAAGGTTTCAGTGAACGTGCATATGAACTGGTTGGGTTCGGTACCTCTAACAAGGTTAAGAACCACTAATCTACAAGGTTCTAATATTGTCAATTCTGTTCATGTAATAGCATTATTTTATTTGTTTGTTTTTAAAATGACATTCACATTCACACTATGGACAAAGTCTGCAATCAACCAACCATGCATATTTTTAGAAGGTGAGAGGAAGGCAGAGTTCCAAGAGAAAAGAACACTTGAGCAAGAGAAGACGCTAAATCCATTCAGAAAGTATTGAGTCAGGCTTTAACAAGATATTGTTACCACATTTGGAATATTTATCTATGACTTATCTTATGCCAACTTAATGTAATCTCTTTCTTCTCAAATGTTCTGCCATGTTTCACAGTTACAGAAAACGATTATGATTACGGTAAGTTATTTCTCAGAAAATTTAATTTTATTGTGTTTGTTTGCTGTACTTTTTGGGAGAATTGTCATATGTCCATGTGTCCGTCTGTTCATCCATCCATCTAGAGTCTTTTGAGAAAGTATTTGGCACCCTTGACATTTTTTGAACTTTTTCCACATATCTGGCTTCAGAAAAGATTTTAAAAAAAATTATTTTTGTTTGGTTTGTTTTTTTGTGAAGATTCAGCACTAAGTGGGATCCAATCTTGAAGTGGAACAAAATTCATAAACCTTTTTTTCAAAATAAAATGCCGTCATGAAAAGTGGTGCATGCGATATTAATCGGCCCCTTTACTTCCAGTGCCGCCAACACACTCCAGAAAGTATCAGATAATTTCGGAATGATCCAATGTTAACCTAAATGACAGAGTCCACCTATGTGTAATCTATGCTCAGAATAAATGCACCTGTTTTGTGGTACTGTTCGAGCAACCTAATTTCATGCCTTTGTCTGGAAAAATCTCATTTTGATCCCACCCAAACTTCATTAAATTGGAAAATCAATGTGATGATATAGCTACACTATTATTCCATAAAAATGACCTGGAGAGTGATGAGTATGGCCTAGCGAATTCATCAATAAAAAGGGAGTTCCCTGTGAGCCCCCCCCCCCCCACCTCGACATCACACCGCATAAACCCCCAGGAGGCCCGCCCCACTATTTGAGGACTGCCTTGTGGTTGAATTATTTTCAGGTTTTTTTGCCGATCCGCTTTACCCTCACAAGGGTTGTGAGGGGTGCTGAAGCATATCCCAGCCATCTTTGGGCAGTAGGCAGGGGACATCCTGAACTGGTTGCCAGCCAATGGCATTGCACACAGAGACGAACAAACATCCGCGCTCACACTCACACCTCGGGACAATTTGGAGTGTTCAGTCTGCCTGCCATGCATATTTTTCGAATGTGGGAGGATAACCGGAGTACCCGGAGAAAACCCACACAGGCCTGGGGAGAACATGCATACTCCACACAGGAAGGCCAAAGCTGGGATCGAACCAACGACCTCTACACTGTGACGTCGATGCTACCACCTGGACCACCGGGCACCCAGGCCTGATTAATTTTTAAAAAATTTCTCGGTTGAACCACAATTCAAAAGCCATGTTTGATTTACACTGGTTATGTATTGGATATTTTGAAATCTTATATTTATTTGTTTGTGTTTTACTCAAGTAACCCCAACAGCAGAGCGCCACAATCCACGCAAAGATATTTTGGGGGTAAGTAAAAATGATATTTCCAAAGTTAACTTAGAGCCACAGATTTTCATTTCTTTCTGTTTCTGATCATTAATTTAAATTGTATTTGCTTTTATACAGTTACTATTTAATTGATTTATTACATTTACATTTGAGGGTGACGTCTTTATACCTTGACCAGGTCATGGAAATTTGCAATGGTTAAATTGAAGCAACTGGGCATTTCTTCTTCTAAGTCACTGATGGTGTGAATGTCAGTGTGAATGGTTTGGGAGAGGATCCTGATAAACGGTGATGGGTGGATGGATGGATAGAAACTTTTTGTTTGTTGAAGAAGTTTCACTTTTCATCCACAATGCTTCTTCATTTCAAAATTTGAAGTGTGGAGTCTCTCTCTCTCTTTCCTTCTCTCTGGAGAGTGTGCCTGGTGGTGGTGGTCACAATAGAGTTGTTGCCCAGTGTATCTGGTGAATGACCGGCCGAGAAATATGTAAATAAAGAAAGAAAGAAAGAAAGAAAGAAAGACAGAATCCCCTCAACAAATTTCTCAATTAAATGAGTATGAATATTAAGAAAAAAATAATCTCCAAATTCTACAAACACTTTTTCTTAACACACATTTTTTACAACAGACCAGGAAAACCCGTTTTGCCCCAACACACAATTTTGGACCCAAATCAACATTTTTGACATTAGTTCCAACCTGTACATTTGCTATCAGAAATATTGTATGATACTTAATATTTTAGAATTTAGATTTTTATTTATTTAGAATAATTTAGAATTTAGAATCCAAGAGTGACTTTTTGTCAAGGCCAAACAGTTATAAGAATCTTCCCAACTAAACTACCTGTGCATTTTTGCATAGCACTCCAAATTTGCTTCAAACTTTTTTGTCTTATCCTCCCATTTCCAGGTTTATATTGCAGTGGGCCTTGCAGGGTTTGCTTGTGTGATCTTGGTGATTATCTTCCTCCTGATTAATAAGTGTGGGCAACATTCAAAGTTCCGCATGAAAGGTAGGTTCATTGTTAATCATTGAATTGCAAAGGTTTGTCAAATGATGAATAAGACTCACAGCAAGTGTCGTAGTATATGCTAAGACTTTCTAACTTTTCTAAGTGGCAACCTGTTGCAGAAGGCCATTTTGCATATTAATATTTATTCCAGTTGAGAAGCACTTATCATTTACAATGATGAAAGCCACTCTTAACCGTATTATTAGCAATACATTCATCACATTTATAAAATGGCATGCAAGGATAATAGTGCTCCGGCACAGTACCAGAATTATAGTGCTCCAACATGGAGGGGCCAAAGGTAACGACCTTTGTGGTCTGGTCCCTGGCAACAGAAGCTATCTGAAGGGATATGGAATGTCACCTCTGTGGCATAGAAGGAGCCCCAGCTGCTGTGCAAGGCAGAGATGTTTCGACTTGAAATAGTTGGACTTGCCTCCAAACACATTCTGGGCTAAGTTCCCAGTTCTCTCAAGAGCGTTTGGACTCTTCCACTGTGGAGTTGCCATGCTTAGAGGTGCAGAGCAGGTGTGTACATACTTACAGCCTCCCTCCGCCTTCGGGTAGGGCGATGGTTCCTCATTGTCATTGCCCACATGAGCATTGAAGTCCCCCAGCTGAGCAAGGTGGTACCCAGAGGGAGCGCTCACCAGCACACCCTCCAAGGACTCCAAAAAGAGTGGATAGACTGAACTGCTGTTTGGTGCATAGACACAAACAACAGACAGGAAAGAAGGCAGAGGTAGGCAACCCTCTCGTCTCATGGTGTGCACCCAAATGTACAAGCACTGAACCGGGGGCAATGAGCATGCCCACACCTGCTCTACAAAGTCTCTCACCATGGGCAACTCCAGAGTGGAAGCAAGTCCAACCCCTCTTTTATAAAGCTGGTACCAAGAGCCCAGGCTGTGTGTGGAGGCAAGTCTGACTATATCCAGTCGGAACTTCTCTGCCTCGCACACCAGCTTGGGCTCCTTCCCTGCAGGAGAGGTGGCTTTCCACATCCATATATATATATATATAT